CTCTCTCTCTCTCTCTCTCTCTCTCTCTCTCTCTCTCTCTCTCTCGTAAGTAGCGGTTGTGTCACGCTATATCCCGGCTCTTGCTTTGAGTTGATCTGTTTCTGCCGTAAGTTGCCTCCGGGCCTTTTTGTTGCAGATTTAAGCAAGTTTTTTTTCTGCTTGTCACGCGCCTTATTCGCTTTCTTGGAGATTGCCACTTAACTCCGAGTATTTTTGTGACAAGCTTCATTTCTCATCCTAACCTATTCTTGGAATCATCGTGTAATTCTCGGAGTTGCCTGTAAAATACGTCGACTCCGTCTGCGCATGCGTTGTCGATCTGCTCTTCCTGCTCTTTACTTTCTTCTGGTTGGATGTGTGCATGCAGCTAACTGAGTGGTGCCTGCGGTGATCTGCGTGAGCGGCCTTGCCTGATTGGTTGCAGTACGATACTGGTGGTGACTTCTGGTGATATTGCGTCGAGTGACACTGTTGCGAACTGTTGTGAACCTTGTGCTCTTGTAACTAGCTTATAGTTACATAGTTTATTTCTGAGATGCTCATGCAGCGCGAGCGTGTGTGCATCAAGTGCACCAAAACAATCGCTGGTCAATCCGTCTCCTGTACTGTATGCGCGAGGGAGTTTCATCCAGGTTGTGTCAAATCGTACTTAACTATGAAAGCTGCTGGTGACTGTTGCAAGTCTCAGCTGTCGAGTATGTCGATCGTGAGAGATGAACGCCGTGCGTTCTCTCCTACTGTTTTGAGTGACACCGCGTCTGTTGTTGTCGGTGCCGCGCACTCAGGCGCGCAGGCGCATTTTATTACGCGCGATACTGCAGACGGTGCCGCGCTCGACTCTACAAATGAGCTTTTGCGTGGGTTGATTGAGCAGGTGAAGGCGACAGATGCTAAGATTTCTGCTTTCATTGACTGTCAGCAACGTACCAATGAGGAGCTCAATGATAAACTTAATTGCTTAAATCGTCTTACTGACACTGTAGCGGAAAATAGTCAGCGCATCGCGCAATTGGAGCTTGACAATGCCAACCTCGTTCGTGAGATCCGCGATCTTAAGTCTGCTCGGTCAACTCACGACGCTCATTTGAGTAATGAGCTTATTATATCCGGCTTGCCATCGACAACATCCGTTACTCCTGCAAAGCTCTCTGAAAATGTACTCGCGGCATTAAATGTACCTCACTTGGCGTGTCACGTTCTTGGCGTGAGAATGGTCAGCAGACCGCCATCTGCTACTCAGGGCCGTTCCAAGGCGACTACAGCGTCGAGCTCGATGATTGTCACTCTCGCTTCTAGTACTGTGTGCGACGTCATAATTTCGAAAAAGCGTGAAAAGGGTGCTCTTAAACAGCGAGATATATGCGATGCTGGTTCCGATCGGCATGTTTATGTAAACGTACTGCTCCCGAAGTACACATATGACTTGCTACAGCGAGTCAAGCGTATTGCGGCGGAGAATTCTTATAAGTTCGTTTGGGTCAAAAATGGCCATATATGTGTAAGGTCTTCCGATGGACAACCTATTATCCGCATTAACTCAGACGCTGATCTCGCTAAGCTCGTCTGACGTGTCTCGCCGTCTTGTCCGTTGCCTTCGATTGTCCGACATGACTCAGCATGTAATCCTTCCTCACTCCGCATTGCTCAGTTTAACGCCAATTCCCTACGTGGGCATATCGACTTTATTCGCTTACATTTTAGTACTAATTCTCATCATATAATTTCTGTATCTGAAACGTGGCTTCATGCGGGTGTGTCGGACGATCTTGTGGCTTTGGATGGCTACTTTCTTGTTCGTCATGACCGGGTGGGGCGTGTGGGCGGTGGCGTTGCTTGTTACGTGCATAATTCGTTAAAAGTCAGGTTAATTGCAACTTCTATCGGGATCGAGTTCAATGCTCCGGAATATATCATGGTTGAGATTCGTTTGCCGAGTAATGAAGCGGTATTGTTCGTGTCTGTATATAGGAGACCTAAGGGCACTCTTTTAAATGATTTTGTTGAATCACTCACTGGTGTCTCTCATTTATATAAAAATATTATTATTGGCGGCGATCTAAATTGCAACCTTTTGACTGACTGTTATGAGGCGAATTACTTGCGTGAGCTAATGTCAGGCTTATCCTTGACCATCGTCAACTCTGATGCTACCTTTCATACTGCCACTTCCGACTCGTGGCTGGATGTTCTGGTTGTTGATGATGGTGATAAGGTTCTTGCATATAATAAATCCTTGAGTCCATTCGTCGCCGGTCATGATCTACTTGAATTGTCGTACTCACTTGATCGTAAGCTTGACATTGATCAATCTATTCTGCGACGTGGTTACAGGAGCATTGATGTCTCTGCGTTCCTTGAACATCTGGATGCCATTGCTGTTAACGTTCAGACTGTTGATGGCTGCCCTTCTAATGTTGATAAGCTTTGTTCCTGTCTGGTACCTTACTTGATGCACTTGATGTTTTTGCTCCTGCCCGTGTGTCCGTGATTAGGAAGCCTCCTGTTCGATGGCTTACAGATGATTTGAGATGCCGGCTCCGCACTCGCAATTAGATGTACAAGCGGGCCAAACGTTTGGGCAGTCTACTGGGTTATGCCAGTTACCGTCATTTTCGCAACCAGCTTAACAACGATATCAAACGTGCTAAAAGTGAGTTTCACTTGGCTTCCCTTACCAATATTACCGACTCTGCTAAAATGTGGAGAGAACTTGCTCGTTTGGGACTGGTTAAATCTACGTCGGTTTCTCCCTTCCGCTTTTTCACACCTGATCAACTTAACTCTTACTATGTCTCAGTGTCTAGTACGGTATTGCCTTGCACATATGCGAACTTTATTTCTGCCATTGCCTCAGTTTCTTGTTCTTCTCAACGTCCTGATTTTGTTTTCTCTACTATACAGCTAGACTCTTTACAAGCTCATCTTTAATGGACCTCTTCACTCTTATGCGTCTGGCTATGATGGCATCCCGCTTTATGTTCTTCGCATTGCTTGGCCTGTTATTTCTCAGTGGCTTATTCCTCTTTTCAATCGCTCACTTGAAGCTTCCGTATTTCCCTCATCATGGAAACGTGCGTTGATTTGCCCTCTCTCAAAGATTCGCACTCCACTGTCACCGTCTGATACGCGACCCATTGCTAACCTTCCTGAAATGTCAAAAATTCTTGAACGCATGGTTGCCTCACAAATCACCGACTATTTGAATGAACACAACCTGCTTAATCCGAGACAGTCTGCATATCGTTCTGGTTTCAATACGCAATCTGCTCTATTACGTGTCTGTGATGATATTAGAATGGGAATCGATAAAAGACTCATTACAATCATGATTCTATTTGACTTCAGTAAAGCGTTTGATACGGTCCCACATCTTCGCTTGCTTATCAAATTGAAAGAAATTGGTTTTTCTGATGGGGTTCTCGCGTAGATCTTTTCTTACCTTACTGGCCGCTCTCAAGCTGTATTCGACGATGAGGGCAATTTTTCTGAGTGGCTTTTCACGTCGACTGGCGTCTCTCAGGGCTCTATCCTTGGCCCACTTCTATTTGCTCTTTACATCAATGATATAGGTGGATTCCTGTCTTTTGTTTATCATATGTTATTCGCGGATGATGTACAAATATATCTACAATGTACACGTGCCGACATTCTTCATGGTCTTGAGTTGATTTCAAGGGATGCGAACGCCATTTTTGATTATGCTACGTTAAATGGTCTTAAACTCAATCCTGCAAAATTAAAGGTACTTATATTTGGTAGTCAGGCTTATGTCAATGATATTGACCTCCATTGTCTACCTCTTATTATTGTAAACCATACGCCTTTACCCTTTGTCAACGAAGCTAGGAATTTGGGTGTAATTTTTACGAATAACCTTTCTTGGAAAAAACATATATTGCATGTCTCTCAAAAAGTGCATTACTCTTTGTACATACAAGCTTAAGTTTAACCCTCAGGGTACGATCTGGGTTAGCGTAACCCGAGCGAATTTTGAAAGTAGCGGCGCCATTTCAAAGGAAGTAAATGGTGGGGGTCCGTACTGGGGGGGGAATCTTTGAGGTAGCTACTATGTGAGCGCCAAGGGGCGGCGTCAGTCTACGCTTGGTACTCAAGTTATACGATTTTGAAAATTGTATCTTTTTTATAGATCGTACCCTGAGGGTTAACAAAAACTCCTTGTCCACAAGGTTAAGGATAAGGCTGGTATTAGCTTTAATTATGCCGCACATTGACTACTGCTGCCTAGTCTATCATGGTTTGACTGGAGAATTGAACACTGTATTACAGAGACTTGTAAACTGTTGCATTCGCTTTATATTTGATCTTAAGCGTGACGAGCATATTACCCCGTTCAGGCGACAATTGGGGTGGCTTACGGTTGAAAACAGGAGGTTATACTTTCTTGGCTGTCAAATGTTTTGTTTGCTTTACATGCGCTCTCCTACGTATCTGCGTAACAATTTTGCTTTGCTTGATCCGCTGTTGAGGAGATCTGACCGCCGTCTTGCTGCATCCCAAACCTTTCATATTCCTTCTCACAGAACTACCACTTATAGAAACTCCTTTCATCTTTCATCAATATACTTTTGGCATTCCCTTCCCAGTAATATTACGTCTGCTTCTTCAATTGTCTCCTTCAAAGGTCTTCTCAGAGCATATCTGTTGGCGTGTGAAATTGCATGATGTTCATTGCTGTGCGTGGTCTATGACGGTGTTTTTCCCTGTTATTAGCTTGTAAGTTGCGTTGCGTCTTATTCTTAGTATTAGTTAGTTTACTCTACTTACATTTTTCCTATTTTAAGCTGCGTTAGTTCTTCTTTATACAGTGTATACTGTTGTGATAAGCTGTTAAGTTTTGCTCTACTCTTAACTATTTTGTGAAAGAGAGTGCACGCATATTTGTTCTCTATTTTTGTATTGTTAATCTTTGCCCTTTAGTTTTTCTTGGGCATAATAAATCATATCTCTCTCTCTCTCTCTCTCTCTCTCTCTCTCTCTCTCTCTCTCT